ATGTACGATCTCGTTCCCATTGTACTGCTCGACCTTGCTAAAACGCCTGAGCGTTGTTTAAACAGCTTCTTACAATCCTGTCTACTACAATCGTGAAGGTTCAATGGCTACAAAGAGTAAGTAAATAAGAGGTGCTAGCCAGAATCGAACCAACGGGGGTGATCTTCATTTTCAAAGAACGACGAACTTTTCTCTATCCTTTTACCCAACTTGTTTTCGTCAGCGGCCGCTTCACAGACGCAAGTAGGCGTTTCGTCACTCTCCTGGGTGTTGTGCCTTTTGCTCACCGTTGACCGTGCCGAGTTTGATTCCACTCACGTGCAATCTTTGTCTTATTTAGAATTCCGTTGAGCAAGGAATTTACCGCACATTATTTCAGACCGTGGTTGCTCAGTCAGTAGAGCATCAAACTCCAAAACCGATAGTTCAAGTTCCAGTTAGGGTCAGTCTCCTTTTTTCTTTCAAAGATCGTTATATCAGTACTGTTCTGTTGGAAGGAAAACAAAGAAACACGCCATGCTTGCCATATGGCTGCAGATCATGTTTTATTATAACGACAAGAAACAGAGATTAGCACCGCATCATCAACGTCATGAAAATTTTCTTTCCCACCGTTGGCCAAGCAGCTTCTCATTAGGCTGTCCCAATGTGCTTGTCGTCTGTTGCCGCGAAGTGTCAAGTTAACTCAGGATGTCCACCTGTTGCTCTTCAGAAAAGCCACATGGTCAGCCCACTGTATCTTCGAGTTGTGAACAGCATTGAATACATCCAAAAATCGTGTCTTATGCTGAACATGACCTCGAAGTTAGTCCCATCGACATATTGTTCTTTCCGTCCCCTTTTAAGTTACCATGAGTTTCATTTTCTCAACCTTGGTGGCAGACCAGCATTACGCTCCATAAATCATGACTGCTAGAACGGCGGAGTCGAACGGTTCTTTCTTCGTAGACATGGACAATTCGTTATCCAGTAGCGATACTCTGATATGATTGAAATGGGCATTTACCCTCTTCATTCTTCTGCTGATCTCGCCGTTGAGGCTGTTATTGGAAGCAATTAAATAGCCGAAGTATATGTAACTAGCTAATTTTTCCACTTCATCGCTGTCAGTGAAGATGGCACCCGGTGGAAGGCTTGTTGCGCATCCATTTCGTCTCGGAGATGCTCATCTTCTGCAACTGCACAATCTTTCTTTGGAGTTCGGCTGACTCTCTGTCAAAGATAATGATGTCACCTGCAAACAGCAGATGGATGATATGTTCTCCGTCAATGTTAACGTCGCTGCCCCAGTTCATACCGCTAAAGAGATGCATTCCAGCACAGCCGCGAAAAGCATAGGAGAGATGGCGTTACTTTGGAATGCTCTTCTTTTTGCATTGATTTAACTTTCCTCGTACAGCATGGTCGGTTGCTTGATGCAATTATTCAAATCGACGCAGAAAGGCTGATACCAAAATCGGGTAAGGTGTCCCAGTTTTCAAACTTCCCTTCTTTCACTGCTGCCTGACAATTAGATACCAGTGCCATACCAAGCTTTCCCCAAGAATCAGCTTGCGCTTTTGCTGCAGCTTGACGCGCTTCTTCGTACCGCATCCGAGTTGAAGGTTTCTTGCTTCTAATCTCTCTTGAATTCAGTCTTCTTCTCAGTGACAGCCACTTGGACCTCTAACATCCATCTGGAAGTACGTTTTTCACTACCAAGTAGCAGTTATGCGGATTTTAAATCGCATTTACAGTACCTGGGTTTGGTTCTCACGTCAGCCATGATCATCGGGGCCTGTTTAAACCGTCGTGCGATGTTCTGCAAGGTTAACCCTCGCATTCGCAGGAGAAAACTTTTCCCGCTTGATTCTCTGACTGCTTCTGACGTCTTGTCTTTGCATGGTAATCCATCATTTGCAGCGAAAGGTGACAAGAGCAAGATGATGATGCGATGCCAGCTGTAAGCCTCTCTATGACAAAATATCCATTACAGTGTCGTGAGACGATGGGCTTATCAAATCGATAATCGACTTCGGTACGTGCACTTCCCTATGCTGCGTGTACTCAAGAACATTTCGATGTTGGAAGGTGTTTTTAGCAGACTGTCCACTGTGTGTAGAACAGCTCAGTAACTTCACAACGTTATTGTTAAGATCACTTGAGCTGCCGTTCCCAATCACGTTCCACTTTTCAGTGTCTGTTCCAACTTGTCCGCACTGAGAAATCGCCCATTAAAAATATCGATTCCCAACCAAAAGTACCTTCTATTTTCTCCGGAAGGGACGTATATTCTCCACAAAAAATAAGCGTGTGGACCTGTAGCATGGCCGAAGCTTTTGCCTGCTGCAACTTAAGTCAGAGGACAGCCTTCAGTTCAATGATTGTCTGCCAGGTTGGTTCTATCAGAACAGCAACACCAACCTGAGCGCGAGTCGTGATATCGATATCTGAGTAGAATAGCTTTTATTCGCAGAAAATCAGAATTCCAGAGTCCGGCGTTTCGTATCCAGTAAATACCTTGTGGCCTACCAACTAGCTCCCGCACTTTCTCGGTGTAATTTGTTCCAATACTGATCTCTGAGCTCCCACCGTCAGTATCATTCTGGTGGAACAGTTATAATTGCATCTTAAGCTGTAGATTAAAATGAAACTAAAAAAATAAGTGAATGGAATGTCCAATGCTGCGATATCATTGGTGGCTCTAAATCGGCAGTGGAAACATGGCTACAAAAATAGCAGTTTAAGGATAGTAAGCCATTAACCATTGTAGGGCTAAGCTGGATTTCACCACCTGGTTTGAAATCTGAGATCGCCTAACTCTTTGCTTACACTTGATGGTATAACAGTTGCTTTTCCGCAAGTTTGTTACTCCTGAGGCACGACAGTCGTTGTAAACTGCACCAATCCACAACAAGGTTTGATCATTCGCCAACGGACTGGAGACCGCTAGTCGCAGCGCCATTCGCCTTCAAATTTTTTGAGCGAATTCTTCACCCACATGCGCAGTCGATATTGTTTGCAGTTGGTTACCCATGGAAATTAAGATATATGGAGGACCAAACATTGTCTACGTGTTGGAAGCAGTTATCAACACCATTGGGGACATTTATTTTAACGAGCAGCTTTATTAAATCGCAACGCTATATGCAACATCATCCTCTGCAATGACTACTTACTTCCGCCGGGGTCAAGTCTTTAATTGTAAGACTGTTCGCAATTTACTGCAAAAAGCGTCAAGCATTAGAGTTAGCAATCGAACTCCAACAGTCTGCTCGACCACCCGCAT